GGCTTACCTGAAAAGGGAGCTAGCCAAGCAGAAAAGGCCTTCCTCTAGAATGCTAGAGCTTTAAGAGTTGGTCAAAGAAGAATGAGAGAAGATCCATGCCGAGGTTTGCTCTAGCCTCATCGACAGCTCGCTTAGTAGGGTGCGGGCGGTGATCAAGGCCAAAGGTCGATGGGCTAGGAACTAGAAACGCACTTTTGAAGTTTGCTCCCCCTGCTTGGAACTATTTGTCCGGATGTACCCATTGTATATCTTTTGGGATATAAGTTAGATCCAATGTACTATTATGGATATTTGTGCTATGAACACATCCACTATGTGCCCCACCCAAATTGTACCACCATTAAATATTAAGGCTTAATGTATAGTGGTCTGTAAGCCAAAAAACCCAAATTTATGCAAAGCATACGGACAATAGTTTCCGCCAGTGTACGTGTAGCAGCGCCCGAAGAGTGGTCACCTTCGGGGTCGGGGCGAAGGTCTGAAAGAAGTCCACCCCCTCACGCTGACTGAAGCCTCGAGTGACGTAGCGTGCCTTGAAGGCAGGCGGCTCTCCAGGAGGGCGCTTCACCTTGAAGAGCCACCGGCCATTGACTACATTCACCCCAAGTGGGGGAACTGCGTCGACGAAGGTACCGGTGGATCTCCAAGATGCCATCTCCTGCTCCATGGCAGCTATCCACTGAGAGGCCCAGGGTCCCGAGGTGGCCTCAGCGTAGGTGCGAGGGGTCGGGATGTCGAGGGCGTCTGGGTCACCCTCAGGGACTAGTAGCATGGAACAGAGATGGGGAGAGGCCTCAGACAGAAAAACGAGCTCGAACTGCCTGTCCTCTAGGACGTCACTGCCAAGAGCAGCCACAGCCCCGATGGTCGGAGGGCACGAAGGGTCAGATACAAGAGCGGTGGCGTAGTCCAGGCGGCGGGTAGCGGCGAAGTCAGTGACAGCAGCGACAAGAGCCGACAAACTCGAGACAGGAAACGGACGAGTCGGTGACGAGAGAGGCAAGGACACAAGGAACAAGGGGGCGCACAGCAACAGGAAGTCCGAGAACGTAGGCAGGGCCACAGCAAGCGATGACAGAGGAGGAGACGGGAGGAGAGGAGGAGCACGAGACGCATGAGAGCGCAGCAAAATTGGGTGAGAACGCAGAACAGGGGAGGTAGGACGAGCACGAGACGGACGACGAGACCATACGTGAGACGAAGGAGTCGGGTCAGGAGAGAGGGGAGGAGACACAGGAGGAGAACGGGGAGGGAAACGAGCCGAATAGGAGTACGGGGGAGGAAACACGGGGCCGTGGACCGGCAAAGGAGGAGGCGGCGGCAGCGGGGGAGGCAGCAAGAAGCCCCACGCCAGCACCCCCAGAGCCGGCTCCAGAACCAGCTCCAGCCTGCTCCCCAGCACCCCCAGAATGCACGAGCCCAGTGGTGGTGATGAAAGCGGCTGCGGCTGTGGCGGCAGCGGCGGAGGCGCTTGCGGCTGGGACAGCGGCGGCGGCGACAGGGGAGGCAAGACCGGGGCAGAGACAGGCGGGTGAAGAGACTCCGCCGAGCCGCGAGAGTCAGCGGACTCCTTAGCAGGGACAGCCGACGGGAGGGGGGTGACGTGAGACACACCAGACGGGGCTAGGCAGGGAGGGGGGTGGATAGGGTCGACCGAGAGAGGGGGGGGCACCAGGAACTGAAGGGGAGTGACCGGGGGACCACGGTGGGGAAAGCGGTGGTAGAAGGAGACGGACTCGTCAAAAGTGACGTCACGAGAGTGAAAGAACCGGTGAGACGGCGGGTGGTAGAACTGCCAATCCGACAAGTCGAGGGGGAAACCTAGGAAGACACAGGGGCCAATGCGGGTAGTGAGCTTGTCCGTGCCAGAGGCACGAACGTGTGCAAGGCAGCCCCAGACGTGGAACGCAGACGCGTCATCAGGGGACCCGGTCCAGAGGAGGGTCGGCGAAACCTGCGACCGCTTAGGGTGCGGCCAGAGGTTAAGCTGGTGAGCGGTGTAGCGAACGGCGAACGGCCACAGAAAATGGGGTGCACCGGCATGAATCATGGAGGTACGAGCCACCTCCATGACCAAACCGATGCGTTCCCATTTTGCTTGGGGAAGTTTGGCAGGGTGAACGTCTGGGTGATGCCCTTCGCACGACAGAAGCGACCAAGGCAGCCAGAGGCAAACTCGCCACCACGGTCTAAGTGAAGACGCAAGACGGGGAGACCTCGGTGAACACGCGCAGAGACAAGCCACGAGAGAAGAACGTCACGCACGTCGGCCTACCGCTCCAGGGGAAAGACGGTGGTGTAGCGGGTGTAGTCGTCGAAAAGCACTAGGAAGTAGCGCTCGCGACGCGGCCCATAGACGGGGGCGGGGCCCCAGACGTCCATGTGCAGGGTCAGCAGCGGTGCGGAGGTAGGGGGGAACGAGGAGGAGTGAGGGGCACGGCGGAGCCGGCGCTGGACACAGGGCGTGCACGGAGGCGCGGGTGCGGAGGGGAGCGCAGGGAACGACTCAGGGAGGCCTAGGACAAGACGGTGCTGGGACATGTGGCGAAGACGGGTGAGGGCAGGGTGACCTAGACGGTGGTGCCACAAAAGTGACGGGTGAGTACGCGACCGACACGAGCACGCCGCAGCAACATGGGAACACGCAAGTACTTGGGGAGGCGTCCCAACCGGGGGGGAAGCGGTGTCCAGCGTGAACAGGCTAGACACCGGGTCCAGGGAAACGTGGTGAGGGGGGTACCAGTGGCGACCTCAGTACAGACAGCGTACCTCTCATGCCCAGGGAACGTAGTGGTGACGCCAAGGTCTATGAGGCAGCCGACACCAACTAGGTTCCTAGAGAACGAGGGGATGTGCAGGCCTGTAAGGGAGCCTGAGGGAACCGCCGGACAGGGGAGAGTAGTGGAGCTGCGTGCAACTACAGAACCGGAGGAAGGGTCTATAGGAGCAACAGCAGCAGGAGCGGCAAGCGACGTAAGCGTCGTGGAGTCGCGAAAGAAACACCGGGAAGAGCCGGAGTCAAGGGTGAAGGAGAGCGCGGCAGTGGCGAGAGAGGTCGGAGGAGTGAGGGAGGACCCTAGGCTAAACAAGGCAGGGGATCCTACGCCTGACGCAACATGGGAGCCTGAACTAGGCACACTGGGCACACCTACGCTAGGCAACACAGGGTAATAGGAACCAGTCACACTAGAGTCATCAACATACAGCGCATACAAAGCAGAGCTAATCTCATCCATGTCCATATCAAAGATCTGAACACGACGACGGGGCAGACTGTGCTAGTCAGGGAAGTCAGGCGATGGGCCGAAGCGGAGACGAAACAGGCCGTCTAGGTGACGAAAGCAACGAGCGGGGGTATGACCGATATCTTACCGCACACGAGATCGCGGCGAGGACCGGTTTGGAGTTGGTACTAGCAGCGCCCGTCACTCGGACTACCACCTAACAACACGACGCGCGAGCGACCACTGCGACCACCATCACCTCCAGCTCCAGGCCACCCGGGCGGGAGATGGCCGACCCTCCGCTGCTGCTGCTACTGCTGCGGCTGCTGCTGCTGCTGGTCCAGTTGCGGAGCCTGCTGCTACTCCGGGGCACCAGCCCCAGCCCCCTCGTCAGTACTAGCAACAAGCGAGCCACCTCCACCGCCGGCACCACTCCCTCCTCCGCTACCTCCGCCGCGCCCAGCCTGTGGGCGGCGACCCTTACCTGGACGAAATTGCACTGCGGCGGCTGTCTCCACAGCCGGAGCTGTCTCAGCAACCGCAGCAGAACCGTCGGAGTAAGAGCACTGAGCAGGGGCATAGCCCTTAAAGATAGAGACTGGCACGGTATCGATAGACTGGGCGATAGAGCGCTGACGGGTCTCTATGGCAGACAGGGTGTCGACAAAGTCAATGAGGGTGAGGTCAGCGGGTGGAGACTAAGGAAGTGATCGCGGGCGGTGGCAAGACGGTCAGAAGGCGGGTGGCAAGCATGTAGAGGGTAGAGCAAATGGGGGGCTGAAACACACGAAGCTGAGCCTCAGTGCAGGCAGCGCGCCAAGTCGTATCTAGCGTGCACAGGTGGGCGGCTAGGTCAGCGACAGTGGGGAAAGACGCAAGGTCAGGAAAGAGCATGGGCAGGATCAGGCGACCTACAGAGGCAGAGGGCGGGGTGGAATAGCACGCAACAACAGCCTCTAGGAACTCTTGCGCAGTCCTGACGGACCTAAAGCGGGGGCGCTCGGACAGGGGAAGGGCATGACTAATCGCAAGTTGTGCGACAGCAACACGCGACAACCAGACAGCTCGGGCAAGGGCAGCAGTTGCAGCGGACTCACGGGTGGGATCAGCGGGAAGGGCAGCAGGGGGGTCTGGGCATGGGAGCGTACCGTCGAGTGGACGGCCAGGGAGTGGCCGTCCTGCCGTTGACCAGTCAGGTGTCGCTGGAGGTCGACGAGCCACAAGTCGAACTCAATCGGCTGCCCCTCAGCATCAAAACGCAGGACCGAGTCCGCCATCATGGTCGCAGCAGCCGGAGAAAGACAGTATTGGGCAGGAGAGCGCGGCGGAAAGCGGTGATGTGCAGTGCAGAGTGGTACTGTGCGGTGGAGGGAGGTGCAGTAGGGTAGGGTGCAGTGCAGTGCGGTGCAGAGCGATGCAGTGCGGTGCCGTGCGGTGCAGCGCGGTGCAGAGGAGCCGAGGACGGTGGCGAGGCGTCTAGAAGACGAGGCCGCGGGCGGCAAGGCGACGGGGCCGGCAGGGAGACGGGGCCGCCTAGGCGACGAGGCCGGCTAGGTGACGGTGCCACGGGGCCGCTAGGGGACGGGACCGCGGGGCCGCTACGTGACGGGGCCGCGGGGCCGCTAGGGGACGGGGCCGCAGAGCCGCTAGGTAACGGGGCCGCGAGGCCGCGAGGTGACGGGGTCGCGGGGCGACGAGGCGGCTAGGACCTAGGGCGGAAGCGCTAGGGGGAGGGGGGGACCTACTTACTCATGATACCATGTTCAAGTGAAAGAATGACTAGAACAAAGCATACAAGGGAATATAACCTAATGGGTTGTACTGCCTAAGGCACAACCCTATATAGTCTACAAAAACATACAATATATTTTTGACAAGGAGATCAATAATGAAATTCACATTTCTGATTTTGATCCTATTTTGTAGGAATTCGCCCTTACACATGGGGTGGAAGTGGCAACCGCGGGGATTTGTAGCTGATTGGGCTCTTTCATGAGCATAATAAAACAGGACTGAAAATACAGCACTCGAGGCAGGCAGCACTCAAAGAGTATCTTTGAGTGGAAGCTGTTGGTGTGTGCTTTGCACAGTGATGAGCGCTGCTTGAGGCATTTTAGAAGGGCACCGAGGTACAGTAAGAGGGAGAGGGGCAGCAGTGAATGGCCTGTGACAGCAACGACGCGACACACGGACAACTCTTTGCCCAGGCAGGTGGAAGCAGTATAGGAGCACCACTAGGGCTGGCCTGCAGCAGCCGTGGCAGGTGGTACCTTGACGACCACAGTGGAGTGGTTACACCCCACTGGCAGCTGGTTGCACTCGTGTGCCGTGTGCCAGGTGTGAACTGCCCTCCTTGTGAGCGCCATTCTCTGTTTGCGCACCATACTTCTGCTTCCGATCCTGGCAGGTGGATGGAACAAAAGGTGTGGATATCCACAAACAGTGGGCAAAACCAGACAACACAACGCCACAACTTTTCAAACAAAGGTTCTCACAATCAGTGCCATGGAAACCTCGTTGTTGCATTCACCTGGTTGTTGCGTTCACCTGGTTGTTGCGTTCACCTGGTTGTTGCGTTCACCTGGTTGTTGCGTTCACCTGGTTGTTGTGTTCACCTGGTTGTTGCGTTCACCTGGTTGTTGCGTTCACCTGGTTGTTGCGTTCACCTGGTTGTTGCGTTCACCTGGTTGTTGCATTCACCTGGTTGATGCGGTGGAATGCCTCGGCCTCCATGCGGCGCACGCCCTCCAGGGTCATGCCGTGCCACTCGTCCATCCAGCAGATCGCCTTGCGGTTCGCCTCGATGTTCAGCTTGCGCTGCAGCACCTGCTCCCACACGGGGGGGAAGGGAGTGGGCGGGGGGCGGTGAGGGGATGTGTGAGGAAAGGACGAATTTTCAACGTTGATTGCTGGAAGTTGTGCAGGAAGGGGAATATAGATGCACCTCGAATCGTGCACGGAGAATGGCAGAGAGGAAGGGGTGTGGGGCGGAAGATGGGACAGTCATAAGGGACGGAGGAATGGAGTGGAGAAGAGAGGAGAGGTGCGACGAGAGACACAAGGGGAGGAGAGAAATGGCACGGCAGACACGTTGTAAACGCAGTGAGGGGGGGTTGCAGGGAGGGGAAAGAGGCGATGGAAGAAGAAAGGAGCTTGGTTTCAGGTGAGAAAGAAGCAGCTGAGGAAGGAGGGGAGTGGCAGCAGTGAGAGGGCTGTGGGAAGGAAAGCAAGGGTTGCGAGGGGGGGGCAAGAGGACGGGGACGGAGGCGGAGGGTGCACGCACCCTGGCGATGTATTTCTCGAGCTGGGGGCCGAAGCCCCAGTAGGGCGCGTCGACGGTGACGAGCTTGTACGCCACCATGCATGGCGAGCACCGCTCCTGGTGGGGTGTGGGGGCACGTGGGGGCGATTCCGTCACATTGGCTGCGGTCTCAGTGGCCTTGAATGGGGGCGAGGACAGTGAGGGTGATGTGATGACAGGGTCAGAGGGTGGTGTAATGGCAGTGATATGGAATCGAGAATAATGCCAGTGATCTGCAATGAAAACAGGATTGATGGGCATAAGGGCGAGCGGTTGCCATGCCAGCGACAGGCGTTCAAACCTACGTTACTGCAAACGCTCTGGCGGGGCAGCATTTAGCGTTTAAACGCTAAATGCGCGCATAAACGCTAAACGCTCGGCTAAAATTTTAGGGGCAGCCCGGCGAAAAAAACGTGAAATTTTCTTCCGCGACATTGTGTCTTGGCGATTTCAACCAGACATTCAAGTCGCAAATCCCAACCTAACGACCAAGAAACGCATCCAACCCTTCTGCCCCACTCAACCGCACAGCACCCTATTCATGTACGACTTCCAACCTGACCACTTTCTCCCCTCCTTCCCTCACACTCACTTCCCTCACACTCTCAGTCAATTACGAGAACGCTAAAGTTCCGCGCGCCATAGCCGTAGCTCAGATCCCACCCTATTCTCGTCGCTATTCTCTCTCCTCCCACCCGAGTCACCTAATTTCGCTTAAGTTGAGGGCCCGCGCCCATGTCGACCTCCCCTAACGCTGCGGACACTAATCCTACAGCGTCTGCAGCGTCAAATGTTTTTATGTGGAAAGATTTAGAGTGAAAAGCTGTGTAGCATAATCCCCTTGCCTTCCCCTACCTCCCCCCGGTTTTTTTACCCTGCCCGGGGGGAAAATTTCAGCTGCCCGGGCGTGCATTTACCCTAGCGTTTAGAAACCTTATAAGTCGCGTTTAGCGTTTAAACGCTAGCGTTTAAACGCTTCGTTTAAAACGCTAAACGCGTTTGCGGTAACATAGGTTCAAACGCCACAATGGGTGGGTCATAAGGTGCTGGGCGCGAGTACATGCGCAGTCCTGAGTGCAGTGGGTGAAGGATGGAGAGGAATGGAGAGGGATGGAGAAGTATGCAGAGGAATGGGAAAAGAAGGAGGGGAGTGGTGAAGGAATGATCACTCTGGCCACTGCACCTGCCAGCCCACCCAACAGCGCACCTGCCAGCCGGGTGTGAAGGGCCCTCTGCCAGTCTTCTTGGACGTGAACCGGGCGGGGTCCTCCTCCGCCACGTAGCTCTCCACCGCCTCCGCTGCCACGTCCAGCACCTCCACGCCGCGCCGCGCCACCACGTCCGCACTCGCATTCAGCGCCTGGAGAGGGGTGGGGTGGGGAGGCGCGCAATGGGAGATAAGGACTGATGGCCACTCGCCCAAGCACCAGCACCTCCACGCCGCGCCGCGCCACCACCTTGCACTGGCGTTCAGCGCCTGCGGTGGGGTGGGGGGAGGCAAAACGGCGGATGGGGAATGATGGCGACACGCGCAAGGACCTGCTGCACGGACCTCCATGCTGCTCTCCCTCACCACCTCCTCATGCGCGCTCCGTGGGGCCTGCAACGCGCACCGTGGGGCCTCAAACGCGCACCGTGGGGCCTCAAACGCGCACCGTGGGGTCTCAAACGCGCACCGTGGGGCATGCACTGGAGCACTGCAACGCGCACCGTGGGGCATGCACTGGAGCACTGCAACGCGCACCGTGGGGCGTGCACTGGAGCACTGCAACGCGCACCGTGGGGCGTGCACTGGAGCACTGCAACGCGCACCGTGGGGCATGCACTGGAGCAAGGCAGATGCAGGGAGGGAGACAGTTGGGAGGGAGTGGGGGCCCCGGGAGGGGGGAGATGGAGATGAGGGCGGAGGGATGGGGGGCCAAGGACATGCAGAGCGTGATTCTGGGGCGAGGCGGGCAGCCAGCGCGGAGGGTGGCGCAGAGGGTGGCGCAAGGAACGATGCTGGGAGGCGCGTGGTCGCAGCTCACAGCCGACAGCTCACAGCCGACAGCTCACTCCATGTGGCCGCATAGTGAGCCAGCAGGCCCCAGCTGAAAACGGCTGTGCCGGTTGGGCATAGAGCTGGTGGTAGTGCGCAGCGGTATGTGGCGGCATGAATACGCTGCAAGCGCAGCACGGACGGCACGAGCACAATGCTTGAGAGCCGGGCGGTTACATTGTGCTGTGGCGCGCGGTCGTTGAGGTAAGCGGACTCCACGCGCAGCTTGAACTTGGTGAAGTAGGGGTTCTGCACAGGGAGGGGCGCGGAGAAGGGGGGGGGGGGGGGGAGGGGGAAGAGGGGGGAGGGGGGACGAGAAGAACAGGTGGGAGAGGGGAGTGAGATGGGAAGCATTGAAAGGGAGAGAAGAGACAAGGGGATGGAACGATGTGGGTCGCGCAAATGGACGTTCCGTGGTGGAATCCTCAAGGGTGAGTGAGAGGAGCACGAGCCATCCAGGTGGCAGGCACGCACGATGTGGAAGCAAGCAACCAGGCGGTGAAGAGCGACGGGCAGAGGGATGTGAGGAGAGAAAGCGGCAAGCAAGAGAAGCCGGAGGGCTAACGGGCATGAGAGGGAACGTGTAACGGAAATAGGGACTTACGGACAGCTCTGTACGCCATGTGCAGCCAATGACGCCACACGTGCCATGAGTGCATGCCATGAGTGCATGCCATGAGTGCATGCATGCCATGAGTGCATGCCATGAGTGCATGAGTGCATGCCATGAGTGCATGAGTGCATGCCATGAGTGCATGAGTGCATGCCATGAGTGCATGAGTGCATGCCATGAGTGCATGCCGTCGGTTCAGTGCCATGGACAGAATGGGTGGAGGAGGGTTGGTGCGAGATCGAAGGTTGTGAGGAAGCCAGGAGGGGTACATGGGGGAGCGGGAGGGGAGAGGGGGGAAGAGGGGGAGGGGGAAAGCCGGGGGAAGATGGATAGGGGAGCAGAATGCAGAGGGTGAGCTGGGAGGGCAGGAGCCAGTCAGGGCTTGCAACAGGAATGGGGATCATGTAGCAGTGCTCACCTGTGACGCAGTGCGGGTAGCAGTGCTCACCTGTGACGCAGTGCGGGTAGCAGCGCTCACCTGTGACGCAGTGCGGGTAGCAGCGCGCACCTGTGACGCCATGCGGGTAGCAGCGCGCACCTGTGACGCAGTGCGGGTAGCAGCGCGCACCTGTGACGCAGTGCGGGTAGCAGCGCGCACCTGTGACGCAGTGCGGGTAGCAGTTCCACGACTTCTCCTCCAGCTGCAGCGCCTTCTTCGGCAGAATCGCCAGCACGAACTGCGGGACCTTCCTGCACGGAACGGGCGGACAGGGGCGTTGAGGGAGACAGTGGGTGCGTGTGGTCAGCGCGTGCGGGCGGGGGGTGCGTGCTGCTGCAGTGCAGCGAGGCAAGTGCGCTGGTTGGTTGCTGGGGCGAACCAGGTAACGGGGGCCTTCCCTCGCGCACCAACGGATGCGTCGGCCCCTTCCCTGGCCGACCTGCGCCTCACGCAGGAAGCGCAGTGGCTGTGGGCGTGTGGCCTCTCCTTCTCCCTTCCGCCTCTAGCACGTCGTTACGTCAATAAGAGACTGCTCGAGAGTGAGAAAGAGCGAAATGTGTGGGAAGCTGCCCCACACTCACTTGGCGAGGTGGTAAATCTTGTGCGTGTACTGCCCCCTGCGGCCCTCCTCCTCGAACGGCTCGTTGGTGAGCACCTCCACGCCGTCGCCGTCGCTGTTGTCCGACGAGTGGTGCTCGCTGAACTTGGCGATCATGTACAGCTGCGCGATGCGGTACTGCCACCATGGAGTCGCAGAGGGCGGGTTTGGGGGGGTGCTAGTGTCACCTGGATAAAAACGAGGGTGTTGTGCGGAACTACAATTCTGCTAAAGCCTGCAGTGATTTGGCAAAGAAAGCAGAAGGTGGATGGCGATGGTGAGAGTGACTGTGATGGTGATGGTTATGCTGATGCTCATGCTGATGCTGCTGGTAATGGTGATGGTCATGGGATTGGGTCAGTGACTGTGACAGCACAGCTCGAAGGGTGAAGGGAGAATGTGGATGAGCGAGCGGACAAGTCGGGGAGTGGCTAGCAGGTGAGGAACACGCGGAACAGCTGCATGTGGGGTGCACGTGGCTGCACGCGGAGGCGGGCTGCAAGGCCCGCGATTGTATCGAGAGCACGGCACAGAAACGGCAGCGAGGTTCGACGAGTACCAGCAGGCAGGAAGCGGATTGAGGGGGCTCAGGACGCAGGAGCAGAGGGCTCAGGAAGGGCTGTGCGGGAGGTCACCTAAAAAATGTGGATCTCTCCTATATTGTAGGTATAGTTGTTCGTATAGCAAGGCTACTCCGTAGCAGACGTACCTACGCCATACCTACTGCATACCGACTCCGTATTTCTGATCCTGGAATTTTGGGACGTGGTGATGGGGGGGATGAAGGGTCGCGAGAGAGGAGAAACGGAGAGGAGAGGTCGTCTGGGGAAGCAATGCGATGCATGGAGGAGAGCGAGAGCGCCGAGCGGCTGTTGGGACGAGCAAACGGTGACCTGGTGACGGCTGCTGTGGCCCACGGGACGCACGGCACGCCCACGAAGGCACCGTTCCGTACTCGCGGTGGGGAATGACCAGCGCAAAGGCGGAGCTGGACGCACTCCAACGGTTTCGGAGTAGGGGAGGACACGCACTGTCCTCCGACCAACTGCTCACTCAACTCAGCTGCTCACCCCATTCCAGATTCTCACCTCTTCTGCTGACAGCGGCAACGGAATTTGACTGCGGCACGAGGGGAGGAGGGAGGGAAAAGAGAGAGAGATAAAGTCGACTTAAAGTCACACGGCTGAACAAACACTACACCAACTCCCCGAAGCACCGCATAGGCAAATTCAGGCACTCCGGTGCTTAACATTCCGTGGACCACGGTGGCTGTCATCGTCACGCACGGCACTTGACGGGCTTACTATTCATGAACCACCACCATGGCGACCACGCGCTCTCGCTCCGCCGACTTCCACCTGGCCCCAACTGCACCACTAGAAGCTGCTAACTGCCGACCGTTCCTCGCCTCCGCTCAGGCTCTTCCCGACTTACGACGCCCGCCCTAACGATCTAGGCCGGTCGAACGCATTGCGTATCAGCCTTGGTCAACTCAGCCGATGGTTGATCCCTCGTACTGTGGCACGAGTACGCGTCCCTACAGCAGATCGTCGAACTCCAGCAGTTGCTTAGGCGAGGAACTTCGGGAACTCAGGTGAACCGGAAATCCCAGCGCTGACGGATGGGTTGCCCAACTACTGTGAATTCCAGTTTGTGAATCTCAGCTGTTGGACTCGGGCCTTCCGGAGTGGAGCCACGCCCTTTCCGTTTTCCCCCCCAACCTTCCCCAACCACCCCACCCCCAGCGCAACTCCGCGGAGTTGCGTCCGGGGTAGGGGTCGTCGACTGTTGACCACAGTTTGACCACCCCTCCTTTTCGACCCCCCTTAGCGTGGGTCCCCTCGTGGCTCCCAAACATGCCCAGCAAGCGGACCAGCACTTGCTGGGTGGGACGAAGGTGACCGCAGGCAGCGTGGGAGAAGGGGCGAATGACCTGTGTCGACAAGATGGTCTCAAGTCAAACGTCGGTCTCAGGTCGATGTAACGAAATCTGGCGAGGTGAACGAGGAACAGAAACTCCGCTAACGAGAAAATGTACGACTTCTAAAGCGTGGTAACTTTCCGACAAGCAAAATCAAATGGACCAAGATTGCAAGATTGTTGGGCGGAGGCCCGAGACGAGAGCAAGCCTACAGGCCCATGGCATGGCTGCGATGCCATCGTGCTTCCCCGCCACATGTTTCGTTCGCGGCACGCCTTCGGGATTGCCGAATTCCGTTCCAAAACTTGCATGCGAATTTTCCCGATTTCCGTGCGCGAAAGGGGAGGAGGGCCCCGCAGCCACAGAAACAAACATTCGTAGTGCTCTTGACCAATCACAGTCCGACCAAGTGCCCCGGCCGAGCGACGCGGCACAGGCGTGTATCCCCTTGGCGGGAAAGAGGGAATATTCGCAAAGCACCCCGAGTAAATAACGAATATGGTACAACCATCTTTTCCATAGAAATACAGGGACTGATTCTGTCATAAATATCTCAACACCCCCAATGCGTTCTAAATAAACCAAAAATCGACATCCTTGTGGAGCACAACTGCTCTTGTCAATCGTGCCCCCCACGGATTGCTATCAAATCCAGGGAATGAGCCCGAGGATTGGAGCAAATGGGTAGAGGAACACGTCTGGGGAATATTGAGCCACTAATGATGCATTGGTTACAATCCCGGGCTTTGCCCAAGCCACGCGCGAACCAGTTGCTCCCGGTCCGGAGTTGTTGTACTCAACATAAGTAGTTGTGTCATAGACTGTACCTCCCCAGTCCATCCAACCGTTTGAGTTGATCTGCACACAGCCAGACACAGTCCGAAAGGAGGGCCCCAACCGTTTACTCGTTGGAAATAAAGCAGCAGCAAAGGGGCCTGTGGGCCAAACTTATGTTGCTCTGAGGTTTGATGGGGCACACAGCTATGTGTGAAGCTAACGTCAGACTTTAGGCCATGCATGGCACACCACGTGCAGAGACACAGAACGGTACAGGTGCGGTCGGTGACAGGCAGAGCCAGTCAACCACGGGACAGGCATGGAAGCATGAGCAACCACAGCTAGTGGGGGTACGCTTGTGCACTCACAGCGGAGCCAATGAAGGTGTTGCTGTAGAGCACGCGGGCGAACGGCCGCCATGGGCGGCCCAGGTACTGCGCCTGCGGCAGGTCACCCTCCACGCGCGAGTTCACGATCACAATGCCCGTCGGCTCCGACGCGTTGGCCCGCCCCGACGCTGTCACCACGGCATTGGGCTGGGGGCGGATCTGCAGCGTGCAGTTGTCCAGCACCGCGGCGGCGTTGCCGAACACAAAGTCGATGGACCCGCTCACCACGCAGTTGCGGTAGTACTGCCGCCCGCTGTGCGCGTACAGCGTGTCCTGGGGGGCGGGGGGGGGTGGTGGGGACCAGAGGGCAGAGGGAGGACGGGGGAGAGGGAGGGCAGATAGTACGGCTGGAGGGAGGGGGGGGGCAAAATGGGTGGATGACAGTGGCAGCAACGCATGTGCGAAGCCATGGGCACTGCCCACTGCCCATCGCTTGCAGGTAGTGGGACGAGGGGGTGCAAGCAGGCTGTACCTGCCAGCCGATGAAGTGGCAGTCGAAGAACGCGCAGTTGTCCGCCGTCACCCTCAACGCCACCGCCTGGTGGTTCTCCGCCCCCGCCGTGTTCTCAAAGCGCACGCCCACGGCCAGGAAACCCGCCCCCGATACGGCTGGATGGAGGAGAGGCGGTGCGGGAACAGATGAGAGGTTGATGGGAGGGAAGGGGGGGGCTCAATGAACAAGAGTGGGATGACAGAGGGGTCCGTGGAGGACACACAACCCGCCAAGTAGATGGTTGTGCTCCAACCACATTCTTCAAAAGAAGCAGTCACACCAAACACCTAGGCCTGAGTGGCTCAATTCGAATATTAAGTTATTAACCAGTGTGACTTCAGAGGCATGAGAAAAACCATACCCCTTTGACCAAACCCCTTGCCCCGTAACCCATGCCCCATGCCACAACCCCCCCCCCCCCCGCGTCTGACCGACGGTGGCGCTGTTGAAGGTGGTGGAGCCGCCCATCACGCTGGCGCTGCCCGTGATGACCGTGCTCTCGGGCGCCACCCCCACCAGCGTCACATTCCTGCGCGCCACACGCACCGTCTCCGCGTACACGCCGGGCGCCAAGAACACTATGAACCGCCCCTTGGGCGTGGAGGGCGCTGCATCCACCGCCGCCTGCACGGGGGAGAGGTGGGTGTGTGGGGAGGGGGGGAAGAGGGGAGTGGGGGAGACCCTGAGTCACACGCACTGCCTCGGCGGACGCGGCCGGCAGCAGGAAAGCTATGAAGCGCCCCTTGAGCGTGGGACGGCGCTGCCACTGCCAGCTGGGGAGGGGAGGTGGGTGTGGGGGGGAGAGAGTGGGCGAGTCACTGAGTCACCGAGAGATGAGAGGAGATGGAAGGGGAGAGAAGCGAGGGCAAGAGGAAGGCGACGCGCAGTGAGGGAGAAAATGAAGCAGTGAGGGAGAAAATGAAGCAGTGAGGGAGAAAATGAAGCAGTGAGGGAGAAAATGAAGCAGTGAGGGAGAAAATGAAGGAGTGAGGGAGAAAATGAAGGAGTGAGGGAGAAAATGAAGCAGTGAGGGAGAAATGAAGCAGTGAGGGAGAAAATGAAGGAGTGAGGGAGAAAATGAAGCAGTGAGGGAGAAAATGAAGCAGTGAGGGAGAAAATGAAGCAGTGAGGGAGAAAATGAAGCAGTGAGGGAGAAAATGAAGCAGTGAGGGAGAAAATGAAGGAGTGAGGGAGAAAATGAAGCAGTGAGGGAGAAATGAAGCAGTGAGGGAGAAAATGAAGCAGTGAGGGAGAAAATGAAGCAGTGAGGGAGAAAATGAAGCAGTGAGGGAGAAAATGAAGCAGTGAGGGAGAAAATGAAGCAGTGAGGGAGAAAATGAAGCAGTGAGGGAGAAAATGAAGCAGTGAGGGAGAAAATGAAGCAGTGAGGGAGAAAATGAAGCAGTGAGGGAGAAAATGAAGCAGTGAGGGAGAAAATGAAGCAGTGAGGGAGAAAATGAAGCAGTGAGGGAGAAAATGAAGCAGTGAGGGAGAAAATGAAGCAGTGAGGGAGAAAATGAAGCAGTGAGGGAGAAAATGAAGCAGTGAGGGAGAAAATGAAGCAGTGAGGGAGAAAATGAAGCAGTGAGGGAGAAAATGAAGGAGTGAGGGAGAAAATGAAGCAGTGAGGGAGAAAATGAAGCAGTGAGGGAGAAAATGAAGCAGTGAGGGAGAAATGAAGCAGTGAGGGAGAAAATGAAGCAGTGAGGGAGAAAATGAAGCAGTGAGGGAGAAAATGAAGCAGTGAGGGAGAAAATGAAGCAGTGAGGGAGAAAATGAAGCAGTGAGGGAGAAAATGAAGCAGTGAGGGAGAAAATGAAGCAGTGAGGGAGAAAATGAAGCAGTGAGGGAGAAAATGAAGCAGTGAGGGAGAAAATGAAGCAGTGAGGGAGAAAATGAAGCAGTGAGGGAGAAAATGAAGCAGTGAGGGAGAAAATGAAGGAGTGAGGGAGAAAATGAAGCAGTGAGGGAGAAAATGAAGCAGTGAGGGAGAAAATGAAGCAGTGAGGGAGAAAATGAAGCAGTGAGGGAGAAAATGAAGCAGTGAGGGAGAAAATGAAGCAGTGAGGGAGAAAATGAAGCAGTGAGGGAGAAAATGAAGCAGTGAGGGAGAAAATGAAGCAGTGAGGGAGAAAATGAAGCAGTGAGGGAGAAAATGAAGCAGTGAGGGAGAAAATGAAGCAGTGAGGGAGAAAATGAAGCAGTGAGGGAGAAAATGAAGGAGTGAGGGAGAAAATGAAGCAGTGAGGGAGAAAATGAAGCAGTGAGGGAGAAAATGAAGCAGTGAGGGAGAAATGAAGCAGTGAGGGAGAAAATGAAGCAGTGAGGGAGAAAATGAAGCAGTGAGGGAGAAAATGAAGCAGTGAGGGAGAAAATGAAGCAGTGAGGGAGAAAATGAAGCAGTGAGGGAGAAAATGAAGCAGTGAGGGAGAAAATGAAGCAGTGAGGGAGAAAATGAAGCAGTGAGGGAGAAAATGAAGCAGTGAGGGAGAAAATGAAGCAGTGAGGGAGAAAATGAAGCAGTGAGGGAGAAAATGAAGCAGTGAGGGAGAAAATGAAGCAGTGAGGGAGAAAATGAAGCAGTGAGGGAGAAAATGAAGCAGTGAGGGAGAAAATGAAGCAGTGAGGGAGAAAATGAAGCAGTGAGGGAGAAAATGAAGCAGTGAGGGAGAAAATGAAGCAGTGAGGGAGAAAATGAAGCAGTGAGGGAGAAAATGAAGCAGTGAGGGAGAAAATGAAGCAGTGAGGGAGAAAATGAAGCAGTGAGGGAGAAAATGAAGCAGTGAGGGAGAAAATGAAGCAGTGAGGGAGAAAATGAAGCAGTGAGGGAGAAAATGAAGCAGTGAGGGAGAAAATGAAGCAAGCGCAACGAGGAACGGACAGGCGCACAGCAGAGGCAGCAGACGATGCAGCGCAACCACAATGCAGCTGACCAACAGAGCGGCCCACCTAAAGCACCTGAGGGCAGCAGAGCGACGCTCCTGCAACACCTGAGGCCAGAGAGAAACCCAGGTGGAGCAAGTGAGCGCCACGGAGGCACGCACCTGGATGGTGGTGAAGCTGCCCGAGCCATCTTTGGCCACTATGGCGCTGGGCGGCGGCAGCGCGTAGCGCAGGGGCACCGGGTACGCCAAGGCGGGGGGAGACGGCGCAGGGGGGGGAGGGGAGGGCGGAGGAGAAGGAGGCGAGGGGGGACGAGGGGAGGAGAAGGGGGAGGGGGAGGAGGGGAGGGAGGGCGCGGAGGAGGGGAGGGCGGCCGAGGGGGAGGGGAGGGAGGAGGGGATGGTGGGGAGGGAGGACGAGGAGGGGAAGGGGGCCTTGGGGGAGGGGAAGGGGGAGGGGATGGAGGAGAGGGGAGGCGTGGCGGAGGGGAGGGGGGACGAGGGGGAGGGGAAGGGGGGCGAGGAGGAGGCGAAGGGGAAGGGAAAGGGGGAGAGGGGGGAGGAGAAGGAGGCGAGGGGGGACGTGGGGGAGGAGAGGGGGATGGGGGGGAAGGGGAGGGAGGAGACGGAGGAGACGGAGGAGGAGAGGGAGGGGAAGGAGGGGAGGGGGGGGAGGAGGGGAGAGTGGAGGGGAAGGGGGGAAGGAGGAGGGGAGAGAGGGGGAGAGGGTGGAGGCGAATCCATGGACGGAGGAGGAGGAGACTGAGGGGGAAAAGAAGGGGGAGGGGAAGGCGGGGGAGGGGACGGCAATAAGGGGAGAGGGGGGGGGGGGGGAAGGAAGGGAGGGCAGGAGCAGGTGCAGGTGCAGCACGAGGGGATCGCAGGTGGGGGCGGGGTGCAGGGCGGCGGGGAGGGCACAAGGGGAAGCAGAGGCGAGGGAGGAGGAGACGAAGTGGGGGAAGGCGAGGATGGGCAGGGCGAGGACGGGGGGGCGGGGAAGGGCGATGGAGGAAACGGAGGGGGGGATGGAGGGGGGAAGGGAGGGGGCGAGGGAGGAGGGGAAGGAGGGGGGGATGGAGGAGGCGAGGAGGGGGGGGTCGGTGGTGGAGGGAGCAGCGAGGAAGGGGGGGGGGATGGGGGAGGAGGAGGTGTGGGCGGAGCAGAGCCCGATGAGTTGACATTTGCCAGGGAGGCGTTTGACGTGCCGACTGGAGGAGGGGCCCTTCGTTTGATGGGTGGAGGAGGGGCTTTCATGGCGACGCTTGACACCGACGCGGTGGACTCAAAGCGTGCAACAAACGCCGAAGCGACTCCTGTGAGCGAGTCACCCCCGCTCTCACTGGCACTGCTGTTGCCACCGCCCGCTGGCCACAGTGCACCATCGGCAGCACCAGTACCATCACTGGCATCGGCAGCAGCAGCGCCATCACCAGCATCGCCTACAGGGCCGGCAGCAGGTGGTGGTGCAGAGAAGGGAGAGGCGGCGGGCGGCGGGGTGGACTGCGATGACGATGCGACCATGGCCGCCATGTCGGCCGCCTGCTGCTGCAGTGCCATCAGCGCCGCCCTCAGCTGCCCCGCTGCTTGCTGCTCGCCGCCACATGGGCGCCGTGGTGGGGTGGTGGGGGGGGAGGGGAGGGAGGGGAAGCAGGGTTGAAGGCGTAACGATGGAGTGACGGCGGGGAGGACAGAGATGATGCGAAACAAGAGTTGAGTGTTTCATAAGACTCGCTCTTACTGGGGTTTAAACAAGCCTGACTGCACGCCTTTCACCTGCACGCCTCTGCTCTCACCTGTGCGCCTGCTCCGGCCCTCACCTGCACGGCTCTGGCGGGGTCAGTGGTGGCCCCATCGGGAGCAAAGAGGCGGAACGAGTCTCGGCAGTCGCTGGCCAACGTGGCAGCACTCGATAGGCTGATGCGCGCGTCTGCCACGTCACCCTCACCCGTGTTGATGATGGCGGCGGCTTCGTCCATGCTGGCCTTGGCGAGTGACAGCTGGCAGCATGGGATTGGAAGGGACGCAGGCATGGGAGATAGAGCGAGCACGTAATTTTGATGTGAAACCATGGCACGTGAGCAGAGGCCATGGCACGTGAGCAGAGGCCATGGCACGTGAGCAGAGGCCATGGCACGTGAGCAGAGGCCATGGCACGTGAGCAGAGGCCATGGCACGTGAGCAGAGGCCATGGCACGTGAGCAGAGGCCATGGCACGTGAGCAGAGGCCATGGCACGTGAGCAGAGGCCATGGCACGTGAGCAGCGGCCATGGCACGTGAGCAGCGGCCATGGCACGTGAGCAGCGGCCATGGCACGTGAGCAGCGGCCATGGCACGTGAGCAGAGGCCATGGCACGAGGGCACGAGGGAAGATGATGCTGGAGGGCACGAGGGAAGATGATGCTGGAGGGCACAAAGCCGGAGGATTCATCCTGCCGCCTGAACTACTCGCACGCCCCGCCTACTATCGCATCAGCCTGTAACGCAGCACCTGATTAACGCAGCACCTGATTCACGCAGTCGCGAGCAACTTGCGTCCAAACGTCTTTGCCCTTCCGCCATCCCTCCTCCCCCCCCCGCCCCGCCCACGCCGCCACCAGCTTCTCCGCGCGCCCCTGCGCCGTCACCGCCGCCCCCCGCGCGCCCGTCAACCGAGTGAGCGCATCTCGCGCCTTCGCGCGGAACTTTGCGCTCCCCCACGCCGCGCGCAGGCGCAGAGGCACCCCCCACGTCGCCCTGATGCGTCCGCCAATGCCGCCGTTACCGCCCTTTCCGCCACCGCGCGGGCGGGGAAACCAGCCGCTTCCGCCGAAGCCGGGCAGCGCTTTGCTGATCCGCGCGCCCGCCGCCTTCTCCAGCGCCGACCGTCCCGGCAGTGGCGCGTCGGAGGGCTCGGCTTCGCCAGTGGGGTTAGCGACAGCAGCGGCGACGCCTGCGACGAGAGCGATGGCGATGGCGACGATCCAAAGCAGTCGGGGTTGCGACATCGCCATCGGTGGCGCGACGAGCGAGAGAATCCGAGGTCCATCTCATACCAGGACGAGCGAGCCATTTAAATCAAGAGTAGCACTAAGTCGGTCGCGAGGCGCGGGGCTTATTCCTGCAAGCACTTGAGGCACTCTGGCGACTGTCGCGTCAGCAGGCGGGCACGAGCAGGAGCAGCAGCACGTGGAGGGAATGGCGGGGGATCGATCCGCACCGTAGCTTGCACTGACCGCCTAATGCGCCCAACAGCGCTGATCGGCCACTGCCGGTAACTCCCGGCTCACGCGGCGAACATGCTGCTGCGAGAGAAGGCTAGCGACGAGGGGGTCGGTGGGTGGGAGGGAACGGCTGGGGGGGATGGCGGAGCCGCAGGGGCGGGGCAAGGCGACTCTTGCACGCCACCAAGCAGGCTGTACTTCGAGGACCGCAACCGCACCACGTTCATAAAGAACCGCGCTGCACCGGACAAAACGCACACCGGAAAAATACGCGCCGTAGTCCGCTAGCAGGAAGAAACTCGAGAGGTTGTTCCATAAAACCCAATATAGCTTCATCTTTGTGAAGTACGGTACTACACCGTAGAAAACGTGATACCCTTCTCTTCTTTGTGGTGCAGATTTGAACTAATGCGTAGATATTGTTCTCAAAATAACGTAATAATTAGAACATGGGGATACAAGGGATTATATTGTCAAACATATATTGTATGTTTCTGTAGACTATATAGGGTTGTGCCTTAGGGAGTACAATCCATTAGGTTATACTCCCTTGTATGCCTTGTTCTATATATTCTTTTACTTGAATATGGTATCATGAGTAAGTAGGTCTCTCACCCCCCCTTAGCACTTCCGCCCTATGTTCTAGCCGCCTCGTCGTCCCGCGGCCCGTCACCTAGCGGCCCCGTGGCTCCGTCCCCTAGCGGCCCCTCGGCCCCGTCAACTAGCGGTCCCGTCACCTAGGGCACATCACCACTTTCCGCCTCACTCTCCTGCCCAGTACTGTCTTTCTCCTGCTGCTGCAACCATCATGACAGACTCGGTCCTGCGTTTTGATGCTGAGGGGCAGCCGATTGAGTTCGACTCGTGGCTCGTCGACCTCCAGCGACACCTGACTGGTCAGCGGCAGGACGGCCACTCCCTGGCCATCCACATCGATGGTACGCTCCCCTGCCCGGACCCCCCTGCTGCCCTCCCCGCTGACCCCACCTCTGTTGACCGTGAGTCCGCTGCAGCTGCTGCCCTTGCCCATGCTGTCTGGTTGTCGCGTGACGCTGTCGCACAGCTTGCGATTAGTCATGCCCTTCCCTTGTCCGAGCGCCCCCGCTTTAGGTCCGTCAAGACTGCGCAGGAGTTCCTAGAGGCTGTTGTTGCGCGCTATTCCACCCCGCCCTCTGCCTCTGTAGGTCGCCTGATCCTGCCCATGCTCTTTCCTGACCTTGCGTCTTTCCCCACTGTCGCTGACCTAGCCGCCCACGTGCACACGCTAGACACGATCTGGTGCGCTGCCTGCACTGAGGCTCAGCTTCATGCGTTTCAGCCCCCAATCTGCTCTACCCTCTACCTGCTTGCCACCTGCCTCCCTGACCGTCTTGCCATCGCCCGCGATCATTTCCTTAGTCTCCACCCCCCTGACCTCACCCTTACTGACTTTGTCGACACCCTGTCTGCCATAGAGACCCGTCAGCGCTCTATCCCACAGTCTAGCGGTATCGTGCCAGTCTCTATCTTTCAGGGCTCTGCCCTTGCTTACTACTCTTACTCCGACGGTTCTGCTGCGGTTGCTGAGAAAGATCTGGCTGTGGAGATAGCCGTCGCAGTGCAGTTTCGTCCGAGTAAGGGTCGCCGCCCCAAGGCTGGGCGCGGCGGAGGTAGCGGAGGAGGGGGTGGTGCCGGTGGGGGAGGTGGCTCGCCCGCTGGTAGTACTGACGAGGGGGCTGGGGCTGGTGCAGCAGCAGACTCCGCAGCTGGACCAGCACCAGCAGCAGGCGAAGCAGCAGCAGCAGCAGCAGCAGGCGCAGCAGCAGCAGCAACAGCAGCAGCGGAGGGTCGGCCGTCTCCCGCCCGGGTGGCCTGGAGCTGGAGGTGACGGTGGTCGCAGTCGTCGCTCGTGCGCCGTGTGTCGGGTGGTAATCCGAGTGACAGGTGCTGCCAGTACCAACTCCAGACCGGTCCTCGCCGCGGCCTCGTGTGCGGTAAGATCGATCATACCCCCGCTCGTTGCTTTCGTCGCCTAGATGACCTGTTTCGTCTCCGCTTTGGCCCGTCGCTTGACCTCCCTGACTGGCACAGTCTGCTCCGTCGTCGTGTTCAGATATTTGATATGGACATGGATGAGATTAGCTCTGCTTTGTATGCAATGTATGTTGATGACTCTAGTGTGACTGGTTCCTATTACCTTGTGTTGCCTAGTGTAGGTGTGCCAAGTGTGCCTAGTTCAGGCTCCCCTGCTATATCAGTCGTAGGACCCCCTGCCTTGTTAAGCCTAGGGTCCTCCCTCGCTCCTCCGACCTCTGTCGCCGCTGCCGCGCTCTCCTTCACCCTACTCCGCTTGACTCCGGCGCATCCCGGTGTTTCTTTCGCGACTCCACGACGCTTACGCCGCTTGCCGCTCCTGCTGCAATTGTTCTTGCAGACCCTTCCTCTGGTCCTGTAGTTGAACGTAGCTCCACTACTACCCCTGTCCGGCGGTTCCCTCAGGCTCCCTTACAGGCCTGCACATCCCCTCGTTCTCTAGGAACCTAGTTGGTGTCGGCTGCCTCCAGGACCTTGGCGTCACCACTATGTTCCCTGGGCACGAGCGGTACGCTGTCTGTACTGAGGCCGCCATTGGTACCCCCCTCACCATGTTCCCCCGAGACCCGGTGGCTGGCCTCTTCACGCTGGACACCGCTTCCCTCCCGGTTGGGACGCCTCCCCAGGTATCTGCGTCTTCCCAAGTTGCTGCGGTGTGCTCGTGTCAGTCGCTTATTCATCCGACACTTCTGTGGCACCACCGTCTAGGTCACCCCACCCTCACCCGTCTCCGTCGCATGTCCCAGCACCGTCTTGTCCTAGGCCTCCCTGAGTCATTCCCTACGCTCCCCTCCTCACCCGCGCCTCCGTACATGCCCTGTGTCGAGGGCCGTCTCCGCCGTGCCCCTCACTCCTCCCCATTCCCCCCTACCTCCGCACCAGGCCTGTCGTTATCAGGGTATTTTACCCTGATTCCCTGATTTCACAAGGTATTTTTTTGGCCAACCCTTAATTTTTACGGTTGGACTTTTCTTAACCCTAGCCCCTTCAGGGTTGTAAGTTTGTGAACACTTGGGATTTCAGGGATTGCGTTATGCCAATATTGAGTTTTCAGGGAGCAACGCGTACGAAACCTGAGTGCGACATCCATGTGCCTCACAGCCTTGAAATTTCGACGAAGTCCCCAATCTCTAGAAACATTACCCCCCCACACACAGCAACCTAGAAAAATGGCCAAGTCCTAATTGTACAGACATTCCCCCTACACACCCCACAAAAATCGACAAATATCGGCTAAGTCCTGTGGTACAGACATTCCCCCTACACCCGCAACAACCCACAAATAATCGGCTAAGTCCTAGTAGCCAGAGTATCACCCTCCTCAACAAAAATTGTCTAAGTCCTCGTGTACAGACAGACATTCCCCCTCCCTCCCGCAGACATTCCAGTCGATGTCGATCCCCCCACTCACCTCCGTTTTGAGCCTCATGCCCCCTCCGTTTCGCTTCCCAGCTCCCCTCGGGTTTTGAAATCCCTCCCCCTTCCCCCTCGATTTCAAATCCCCCCTCCCCTCCTTTCAACTTCCCCCCCTCGAGCTGTGAGCTGCCCGATTTTCACTTCATCTGGGAAATCAGAAATAGACATCCCCGCCAGGCCCCACGATTGGTTTTACGGTACCCTGATTGCTCAGTGTCGTGAAAAAAAAAAAAAAAAAAAAAAAGAGGTTTCCATCACCCTCACAAAAAAAAAAAAAAAAATCGCAGATTAACCAGTGTTGCATAGGCAAAGCTCGCTTTTCCACTTGGGTCCTGTACGAAAAAAAATGCTGATTTGGCGAACAAGCAGAGAAGTCTTTCATATTTTGTGTGTGTTTTGTTGCAGCTCGATTCGAAATTCGACAGCTGACGTTATCAGGATATTTTACAAGGGTACTACATACAATGGCCAATCATGACAAAGATTCTGCCACTAGTCAGGGGAGAGACAACTGCTTTTTTCTAGCAGCATTGGTTCATTTCAGAATTTCCCCCATGCCCCTAGTTCCCCGAAAAAATCCACCACACTTTGACGGTCACGATCAAACGCGATCGCTTCGACGTTTCTCAGCTGTTCATCGTTGGTCAGTCATTAATGGCTCAGATTTGCGCGACCTGACACCACCTGCTGACACGTCTCCAGCAATCGAATGTTTTTCCAGAGACTGTACACCAGCGCCTGAGCTAGTTTTTTTGCCGAATGTACACCAGGGCAGCTCCCGAATGTACCGGGCTTTGAGAGGTGTGGGGTGAGATTTGGGGGAGGGATTTGGGGAGGGCGGCAAGTTTGGGCGGGGGCAAAAGTTGAGGCCATAAAAACACGGGATTTGAAGTGCTTGGTGGGAATTCGAATTTCATGAAATTCTCGACCGGTCTTAAATTCGACCCTGATTGTGTTCTGTGAACCCTGGGAATTTCAGGGTTTCGGATTCCTGAACACTGAGAGATTAGGGTAGGGATTTTTCCAAAACAGAGCCCTCAGGGTATTTTTTTTTTTTTTTCTAGTCAACAGCTCAGGGTGGTTTTTTTCTAAACGTCAGCCCTGCTCCGCACCGCTGCAGACCCTGCACATAGACGTCTCGGGCCCCGCTACACCACTGTCTTTCCCCTCGAGCGGAAGGCCGTTGTGCCTGGCGTTCTTCTCCCGTGGCTTGTCTCCCCTATCTTGCGTCTTCACTCTGACCGTGGTGGCGAGTTTGCCTTTGGCTGCCTTGGTCGCTTGTGTCGTACGGAGGGCATCACCCAGACGTTCACCTTGCCGGACTCCCTGCAGCAGAATGGGGTCGCTAACGATGCATCGGGGCTCATACCTCCATGATCCATGCCGGTGCACCCCATTTTTTGTGGTCGTTCGCCGTTCACTACGCCGCTCACCAGCTTAACCTCTGGCCTCACCCTCAGTGGTTGCAGGTTTCGCCGACCCTCCTCTGGACCGGGTCCCCTGGTGACGCGTCTATGTTCCACGTCTGGGGCTGCCTTGCACACGTTCGTGCCTTTGGCATGGACAAGCTCACTGCCCGCACTGGCCCTAATGT